AGAGAAAAAGTAATCTTAAAATTCATATGGAGTATCAGGTGTGGTGATATATATATTTTTTTTTTTTTTTTTTGGTTTTTCAAGACAGGGTTTCTCTGTGTAGCTTTGCGCCTTTCCTGGAACTCACTTTGGAGACCAGGCTGGCCTCGAACTCACAGAGATCCACCTGCCTCTGCCTCCCGAGTGCTGGGATTAAAGGCGTGTGCCACCACCGCCCGGCCTGGTGATATATATCTTTAATTCCACTCAGGAGTCAGAGGCAGGGGAATCTTTATATATGTCCAATGCCAGACTGATCTATACAGCAAGTTCCTAGATATCTAGAGCCACATGGTGAGACCCTGTCTCCAAAAAAAAGCATCATATAGAACATAAAATAATCTAGACAGCCAAAACCACCATGAGCAATAAGAATAATGCTAGCAGTATCACAGTATCTGATTTCAAGCTCTACTGCAGTCATAACAAAAACAGCATAGTACTGACACAGAAACAGACAGGTAGGTCTGTGGGCTAGAATAGATGACCCAGGTATGAGCCCACATATCTACAGCCACCTGATTTTTTAATTAAAATATAATGAAATAATTCCCCCTTTCCTTTCTTCTCTCCAACCCTTCCCATGCCCCCCCACTCCCTTTCAAGTACATGGCTACATATATATATATATATATATATATATATATATATATATATATATATATATATATACACACACACACACACCTGCTGAGTTCTTTTAGTGTTGCTTGTGTGTATGTGATTCCAGGGCTAACCACTTGATGTCTGATAACCAACTGAAGGTGATAACCCCTGGGTAAGACTAATTCTTCCTCTCTCAGCATTCCCTGGTTGTCTGTAGTTCTTTGTCTGAGGGTGAGGACCTGTGAAGTTTCCCCTTTCTGTGTTAGCAGATCTGTTGGTGTTGCCCTTGCTCAGGTCTCATAGAGGTAGCCCTGTTGTTGAGATATCATGTGTGAAGTTTCCTTGTCATTTCGAAGTGACACACTCTCACAGCAGATTTCCTGGTCTCTGGCTCTTGCGTCCCATCTTGCTGCAATGTTCCCTGAGCCTTGGGGTCAGGAGTTCTGCTGTGGATGGATCCATTGCAGCTGGACACCCCACAATCAGTTGTTATCTGCAGTTTGACCAATTGTGGTTTTCTGTAATCATTCATCTATTCCAAAAAGAAGCTTCTTTGATGAAGGGTGACAGCTATGCTTATCTGTGGGTATAAGGATAAGTATTTAGTATGCAGCCAGGAATTTGTGAAAAGTTAAGGCCAGTTGCACAAAAAATAAGGCTGACCATCAACAAATGGAACCTTGTGAAATTAAAAGACTTCTGTACAGCAAAGGAAACTCTTAATTGAGTGAAAAGAATAGGATAAATTCTTCACCATCTGATGAAGGACTAGTATACAGAATAAACAAAGAACTCAAGAAACTAAACATCAAGAAAGCAACCAACCTAATCAGAAAATTTATTATAAAATTGAACAGAGATTTCCCAAAAGAAGAAATACAAATTGCTAACAAATATTTTGAAAAGTGTTCAGATCCTTAAGCATTATGGGAATACAAATTATAGCTACTCTGCTATCTCATGCCAATCAGAATGGTTGTAATCAAGATAAACTAAAGACAAAAAAAAATTAGTGAGAATGTAGAAAAAAAGAGCATCAATGTCAGTTGTGCTGACTGGTCTTATGTCAACTTGACATACAAACTAGAGTTATCCAAAAGGAGGGGATCTTAACTGAGAAAATGCTTCCTTGAGATCCAGCTGTAAGGCATTTTCTTAATTAGTGATTGATGGGGGAGGGCCCAGTCCACTGTGGGTGTTCCATCCCTGGGCTGGTGGTCCTATATTCTATTAGAAAGCAGGTTGAGCAAGCCATGGGAAACAAGCAGCATCCCTCCATGGCCTCTACATCAGCTCCTGCCTCCAGGTTCCTGCTCTGTTTGAGTTCTTGTCCTGACTTCCTTTGATGATGAACAGTGTTATGGAAGTGTAAGCTGGATAAACCCTTGCCTCCCCAACTTGATTTTTTTGGCATGGTGTTTCATCACAGCAATAGAAATCCTAACTAAGACAGTGGGAGTATAAACTAGTACCACAACTATGAAAATTACCATAGAGTTTCCTCAAAAAGACCTCCCATCCTCACAGATAAGCAGAATTAATATTGTGAAAATGACCATATTACCAAAACTAATCTACAACTGAAATGCAATCCTCATTGGAATACTGATGACATTCTCCACAGAAATGGAAAGGGGTCATAAAATTCATATAGAAATGCAAATACCATGGATACCCAAGCCAGTTTTAAGCAGAAAGACATAGAGTTATTACATGACCTAGTTTCAAAATATACTACAGAGCCATAATGACAAAGACAGACATGTAGATCAATGAAATGTAATAGAGGACACAGGCATGGACACCCTATTTAATAAATGGTGCTGATAAAACTAGATATTCATCTTCTGAAGAATGAAATTAGATCAATATCTCTCCTCATGAACCAAATCATCAATTCAAATTGGATCAAAGACCCTAACTTAAAATCATAAATGTTGGGGGGTGGGAGGAGGGAGGACAGGGGAATCCGTGGCTGATATGTAAAATTAAATTAATTATAAAATTAAAAATCATAAATGTTGAAACTGCTAAAGGAAAATACATGGGAAACACTTTGGAATATAGGTTTATGCAAGAATTTTCTGAAGATCATGGGAATTACTGGATTACTTTAAAGCAGTGGTTCTCAACCTTCCTAAGTCTGCGACCCTTTAATACAATTCCTCATGTTGTGGTGACCCCCAGGCATAACATTATTTTTGTTGCTACTTCATAACTGTAATTTTGCTGCTGTTATGAGTCATAATGTAGATATCTGATAGGAGAGCACATGCACAGATTGAGAACTGCTTCTGTAAAGGCACCTGCACAGCAGAAGAAATGACCAACAGAATGAGTACACACTCACTATAGAAGGGGAAACCTCTGACAGCTATACTTTAGACAAGTTAGACCAGTGGTTCTCAACCTTCCTAGTGCTGCGACCCTTTAATGCAGTTCCTCACGCTGTGGTGACCCCCAACCATAAAATTATTTCCTTGCTACTTCACAACTATAATTCTGCTACTGTTATGAATCATAATGTAAATATCTGTGTTTTCTGATGGTCTTAGGTGACCCCTGTGAAAGGACCATTAGGGGTTGAATAAAAACCCCTAGTGGGTCATGACCCACACATTGAGAACCATTGGTCTAGGCTATATACAGAACTGCATAAATTAAACACCAAAGCAATAAATGTGCCCATGAACTGGATTCTCAACAGTAGACATAAAAATGGCCAATCATTTTTTAAAGGTGTTTAACATCCTTCACTATCAGGAAAATACTACTTTGAGAGTCCCACTCCAGTCAGAATAGCTCCCAGCAAGAAAACAAATGTCAACAAATGCTTTTAAGGTTGCAGGGAAAGAAGATATCTATGATGAGAGTGTGATGTGCTGCAGTCGCTATGGAAATCAGTGTGGAGGATTATCAAAAAATAAATAAAAGCAGATCTGCCATATGGCCCAGCTATACCACTCCTGGGCAGATACCTAAAGTAATTTAACTTCTACTCTGTAGATACTTGCACATTTGGGTTTATTGTAACTCTTTTCACAAATGCAAGGGAATGCAATCATTAGCTGTCCATCAACACTAACTACTGTCCTCGTTTTCTGTTCTTGTTTTCCAAAGGCCTCTGGTACTTTAAAATGTTATTTATTAACATTTATTACTATCATGTATTTAATTGCATGCGTGTGTGCCTGTGTGTTATGTATGTGTATCACATGTATGCAGGAGCCTGTGGAGGTCAGAAGAGGCATCGGATCCCCTGGCACTGGAATTACTGGGAACTCTTGAGTCATCATGTGGGTGCTAGGAATTGAAACCGGGTCTTCTGTAAGAATAATAAGCACTCTTAACCACTAAACCATCTCTCCAGCCTTTTCCTCATTATGTAGCCGGTGCTAGCCTTGAACTGGTCGTGTACACTTGACTGGCCTCAGACTCACAGAGACTCACCTCTGTCCTACTTTTTCACCTGGTTTTGATGACCCAGCGAGTTTAGCTGGTTTTGCTTTTGTGAGCATGAGTAGGGAAGGAAATTGATATTTTGGCGTTGGGGGAGCCCACACCGAAATGCTGGAAATTAAAAACTCAGTGAACCGAACAGAAAAACGGTGGAAACACCACCAATAGACTCGGCCAAGCAGAATAAAGAATACCAAGGATAGAGGACAAGATTGACTACTGTATTCAAATTCAATAAAGTCTTTATTAGTATTACAATGTCCAAGAAGTCTGGGATGAAATCAAAAGACAAAACCAAAGAATGCGCAGAACAGAAGAAGGAGCTGAGAGAAATATTAAGACAGAGAATTTTGCCTATTAGTTGAATCTGAGGGTCCCAGTGTCAGATTCTCCAGTAGACAATCAGAGCCATTAAGAATTTATGCACAGTACACCCCGAAAGAGCAGTGTGGACTTTTCTCCCTGCGAGCCGCATGCTCGACACCTGTCTATCTCTGGGTAGTAAGAAGCCGGCTTTACTCTCCAATCGCTTTCCCAGCTGCTGCTACGGCCCCGATGTCCAAGTCTGCCAGGCCTGTCTCTGCCCAGGGAAACTTTAAAGTTCCTGTCAAAAAAAAAAACAAAAAAACAAAAAACCTTGCAGCTAACAAGCAAGTCATGGTGATGGGTGGAGGAGGTTACCATGGAGACAGGTCCAGGGCCAGGGGCTCGGGATGGGGAGGCCCGGGTTCAGCTTCCCATTGGCTCGACGGACGCGCAGCGTTCCAGTAGCACATGCGCAGTGGCGCCGAGGCGAGGTCGCCTGCGAAGCCCTGGCGCTGGGGGTTCCGGCCGGGGGCCTCTGGGGACCCAGCTGGGGCTGTCGCGTCCTGGCGGCTCCGGGCTCCTCCCGGAGAGGAAGCGGTGAAGCTGAGCCCCCCGTGCTGCTCGGGGTCGAGCCTGCCACGCAGGCGCCCACCACGCCGCCGCCATTGTTGCCCGTGCTGCGCGGACCGGGCCGAGCGACAGGTACTGATGTCCCCCGCGAGTGTCCACGGGGAGGCCGGGCCCGGGGGCGAGGCCGGGAAGGGGAGGGCGGCTGGAGGCGAGGCCGGCGCATCTCCTCCAGGCATGACTGCGGATGAGCTGGGCCGGGAGTTGGAGCCCGGGACAAGTGCGTGTGGGTTCCTCTCCGCGTCTGTGGACTTGTGGGGTTGGCTTTGGGGACCGTGCTTTCGCTTTATACTTGAGGAGGCTCCTGAGAGCAGCCTCGAATCACGGTCCAACGGGCTTGTTTTCCCGGCTCTGGGAGTAGCGTCGACTTGCGCGAGGCGGATAAATCGATCGCCTGGGCCCCACCCCCCACGAGGTTGTTTAGAAACCTCCCGTTTGTCCCAGGAATCGCAAATTTGCTCTGTGGCTGAGAACAGCGGGAACATCCGTGACTAAAACAGGGAAACGTTTCTTTCTGTAAGATGGTTAGTTTTTAACAAGTTAGAAATTAACCATTCTGCTCATAATTCTTTGAATTATTGCTTCTACCACCACCATCCATACACACACGCACATATACACTTCCTCTAGGATGAATATATTTTAAGTCCAGAAGATCGGGGTGTATCCTTCCTATGTGTCTACCCGTGCACTCTGCAGAGTCTGCCTCTCGGTGTGTGATGAGTAGCATAGTACACCAGGAATTCTTGAGCTTATGGTCCATTCTTGTGCTGGATAGTTTTATATCAACCTAACACAAGCTATAGTCATCTGAAAGGAGGGACCCTCAGTTGAAAAAATGCCTCCATAAGATCCGGCTGTAAGGTATTTTCTTAATTAGTGATAGATGGGGAGGGCCCAGCCCATTGTGGGTGGTGCCATCCCTGGGCTGGTGGTCCTGGGTTCTATAAGAAGCAGGCTAAGCAAGCCAGTAAGCAGCATTCCTCCATGGCCTCAGCGCCAGCTCCTGCCTCCAGATCCCTGCCCTGTTTCAGTTCCTGTCCTGACTTCCCTTTGATGATGGACAGCAGTGGTAACCCTAACTAAGACAGAAATGGGAACCAGAAGTGGGCTGATACTATCACGACCTAACTGTGTTGTTTTGGGGAGGATTGTGGAAGGATGTTGGAACTTTGGGCTAGAAAAGTCATCGAGTGTTGAGAGCTCAGTGGGATGTTCTGTAGAAACTGATAAGAATGTTGCGAACAGGGCCGATGATGGAGGTCTGGCCTGTGAAGTTTCAGAGGAAAGCAAACTTGGCTTTTTGGTGTCTGGTCAGCTGGAACTGAATAATCATCTGTGATTAGGAAGAGACCAGCACCACTGAGGTGAAGCGTTCTGGGGGAAGTGTTTCCTCAGGGTCAGGTACACAGGAGCTGTCTTCCAGAGGCAGCCAAGGTTGTGCCTCCTGCTGACAGCTGAACTTGGCAGGGTACGAGTCACTCAGGTGGTACTGATTTTGATGATATGAAGGAGTCATGGAGAGCAGCTCAGGCTTGGCACCGTGTGACAGGGCTGGCATTCCTGAAGAGAGCCCAGGAGAGGCTATCTTAGGGGTCTGTTGCTGTGATAAAACACCATGACCAAAAAGCAAGTTGAGGAAAGGGTTTATTTGGCTTACACTTCCACTTGCTGTACATCACCAAAGGAAGTCAGGACAGGAACTCAAACAGGGTAGGAACCTGGAGGTGGGAGCTGATGGAAGGGAGCTGCTTACTGGCTTGTTTCCCCTGGCTTGCTCAACCTGCTTTCTAATAGAACCCAGGACCACCAGCCCAGGAATGGAATGACCCACAGTGGACTGGGCCCTTCCCCATCGATCACGAATTAAGAAAATGCCTTACAGCCGGATCTTACGGAGGCGTTTTCTCAGCAGAGGCTCCCTCCTTTCAGAAACTCTAGTTTGTGTGTCAAGTTGATATAAGACTAGCGAGCACAGAGGCTACTGGTGAAAGACAGCCCAGTTTCAACAAGAGACCCCAGCGTTTTGGAGATGCCAGTACCGTGGGGTGATCACCAAGACACAGTAACAGCAGTGGAGTGAAGCCGGCTGGAGCCCAGAAGACAAGCTGTGTGTGCTGCAGAGGACAGAGTCGGAGGAGGAGCCCGAAAGATAGTGAGTGGGTTCCAGCCATTGGACATTGAGTTATTTATGTAATTGGAAGTTTTGGGTTTTTTGTGTATTTTTGTTTGTTTGTTTGTCCTAGAACTCACTCTGTAGACCAGTCTGGCCTTGAACTCACAGATCCTCCTGCCTCTGCCTCCCGAGTGCTGGGATTAAAGGCGTGCGCCACCACCACCACCCATCTGGTTTTGATTTGGTTTGACTGTGACTGTGCTCTGGTTCTCTCCTCTTGAAATAAGAAAGTATTTAACTTATTTTTCATTTTATAAGAGCCCACAGTTGAGTGACTTTGGATTTTAAAAGAAACAAAATTTTTTAAAGTGTTTGACTTTGTAATATTTGTGGGAATTTTTAAGTTTGAAAATGTTTTATATTGTGGTGTTGTTATGGAATATTATTTTAACTAGGCAAAGATGTGTTACATTTGTTTATGCTGCAGAATATTTAACTATGCAGTGGTGTGTTACATTTGGTTGTGCTGCATCTGTTTAATGCTGTAAGGATGTGTGTTAACTGTGTAAAGATGTGTTGTATTTGTTTCACCTTGCCTACCTAAGGCATCTGATTGGGCTAATAAAAAGCTGAACAGCCAATAGCTGGGCAGGAGACGGATACGCGGGGCTGTGGGGCAGAGAGAATAAATAGGAAAAAAAAAACATGAGAGAAGAAAGAAGAGAACGAGAAGGAGAGGGACATGCCCAGGGCCAGAAGTCGGGCATCACCAGCCAGACACAAGAAACAGTGAAAATAAGATACCAAAAGGAAGAAAGTAAAAAGCCCAGAGGCAAAAGGTAGATAAAGAGAAACAGGTTAATTTAAGTTAAAAGAGCTAGCCAGAAATGAGCCTAAGCTAGGCTGAGCATTCATAACTAGTAAGTCTCCATGTCATGATTTGGGAGCTGGTTGTGACCCAAAACAAAAAGCCTGGTACATGATTATTATTATAATTATCAATATTAATTATTATCAATATTGTGTGATCTTGGAGATGAACAAGAAAAGAAAGGTTGTGGCTTAACAGTGATGTATTTGTGTGTCAAACTGACGAGGTCAATTGTACTGGCTGGTTTTATGTCAACTTGACACAAGCTATAGTCTTTTAAGAGGGCCCCTCAGTTGAGAAAATGCCTCCATAAGATCAGGCTGTAGGGCATTTTCTTAGTGACTGATGGGGAGAGCCCAGCCCTTTGTGGGTGGTGCCGTCCCTGGGCTGATGGTCCTGGGTTCTATAAGAAAACAGGCTAAGCAAGCCATGGAGAGCAAGCCAGTAAGCAGCACCCCTCCATGGCTTCTGCATCAGCTCCTGCCTCCAGGTTCCTACCCTGTTTGAGTTCCTATCCTGACTTCCTTTGATGATGAAAAGTGATGTGGAAGTGTAAGCTAAATAAAACCTTTCCTCCCAAGTTGCTTTTGCTCATGGTGTTTCATTACAGCAATAGTAACCCTAACTAAGACAATTCTTGTGTTTCAGGGTCTTGCTCATCCTTTCAAGTTCTGGACTCAGAATTTGTTACAAGCTGCTAGTTTTACTGTGGTTCCATTCTGGCCCTGACTGCAGCAGCCCTTGAGGAAAAAGAATTGAGACTATAGCATGAGACTTCAAGCAGTTGGCTCAATACTGGAAAAATAAAGGATCCTGCCAGATTGGTTCTCCTGTCTGTAGCAATGTTAGCCTCAAGAAAGAGGATGGCCAATTCTTCACGCTCCCAAGTTCTTCTCATGTGGAAGCCAGACAAGGTTCAAAACGGCTCCCGCAGTGTTGAGAAGCACTCACTCACTTCAAGACTCTTCCGTGACACTGAGACCTGTCGACAGAATTTTAGGAATTTTCCGTACCCAGATGTGGCAGGTCCTCGGAAAGCATTGAGTCAGCTCCGTGAGCTCTGCCTTAAGTGGCTAAGACCTGAGGTTCACTCCAAGGAACAGATCCTGGAGTTGCTGGTGCTGGAGCAATTCCTGACCATCCTGCCTGGGGAGGTTAGGGCTTGGGTAAAGTCTCAGTACCCAGAGAACAGCGAGGAAGTGGTAACCCTGGTGGAGGATTTGACTGAGATTCTGGAAGAGGAAGGTGAGAATTCTGCTGCAGAGAGGGGTGGAATCCCTGGGTGATTAGAGAAGACAGGAGCCCCTCCTCTGAGAGCAAGCCCCCCCTTAAATGAAATTGGGGAGAATAAAGGTCACTGAGGAATGAGCTTTAACATGAGGTCCATCCTGCATTGTGTCCCCTTCCAGAATGCTTGGGACCACTGTGACTTGCAGGGGTTTGCACTATTATGCTAATAAACCATTAGTTTTATGAATTGGGTTTTACAAAAATATGCTTCCAAAATAGAAGTATCCAAAGAACTTTCATGTATGAGACAACTCACAACTTTGTATCAGATTTAAAGAGCAGGAGCTGTATGTAGCCTGCTGGTGGAGTGCTTACCTTTATGAACAAGGTTCAGGGTTCAATGTCAGCACCACCCCCCAAAAAAAAGTAGGGAAGTATGAATTTTCTGCATGTGCTTAGTGCTGAAGCAGGCTTATTTTTGACGTCTGCACAAATGTATTAGGACAGTCATTGGCCTTTCCCTGACTCTGAAATATTAACAAAGTTTTCAGTTGTCCTTTGCCTTCTCACATTGAGAAAGTGTAGATAAACGTAGCTGGTGAAGTGTGTCCTAGACCATGCAAACAGACTAATCATCATTGTCTCCCCAGCTCCTCAGAGTTCTGCCCTTCCCCAAGAAATCCCAGAGGAAGACCCCAAACATGCTTTCCAGGCAGGGTGGCTCAATGACTTGGTGACCAAAGTGAGTCTGACTTTCTTTTGTGATTTTAAAGTTGCTCGTTAGTGTATAAGGACGTCCTGTCCTGGGCCTACAGCAGCTAAGCCCTCAAAGGCCCCGTGCAGGACCTAGGCCTCAGTGTCCCTGGTAAGCACATGTGCCTCCCTTGTCTTCATCACTCTGACTTCAACCAGCAGTGCTGTGTAAAGGTTAAGAGTGTGACCCCACAACCAGACGAGATCTCAGCGGGGAGTGGGGGGAAGCGGGGAGGGGTGGTGACTCTGCTGTTGTCTGTGATTTGAGACAAGGTCCTTAACCACTCCTGGCCCAAGACATTCAGTGCCAAGAAGTAGACTTTACCTTTTAGATTGTGGACACTTAATATGAGCCATCTGGTTATCCTAGATTGTAGCACTGGTTGCTAATATTTTTCTTCATCAAAAAGTAACAGCCAAATATTCTGTGATCAACTGTTTGAATGGTAGTCTCTTATTTAAGGACTAACAACTCAAGCAATATTAAGAGGTGGATTTATTGGAAGGAGAGTGTGTGTGTGTGTATGTATGTATGTATGTGTGTGTAGCCTCTTGTTACCCAGACCATGATTTTTTTTTTTTTTTGGTTTTTCGAGACAGGGTTTCTCTGCGTAGTTTTGGTGCCTTTCCTGGTACTCGCTTTGTAGACCAGGCTGGCCTCGAACTCACAGAGATTCGCCTGGCTCTGCCTCCCAAGTGCTGGGATTAAAGGCGTGCGCCACCACCGCCCGGCCAGACCATGATTTTTTAATAGATGATATAAACATATTTACTTGGGAAATCAGAAAATCAAGGGGAAATGTGTTAGAAATTATAGAAACAGACTGCTATAGAAAATAACATGCAAAAATATATCCCATGTTATGTAAAGATCATATGATAAAATGAAATAAGATTATTTAGTCAGTACCATACATGCATACACATAAAAGAAAATTTTAATATAGCTAGAACTAAGCATAGTATGGATTTTGCAGTATTTCCCTTTTTTTTGTTTTGTTTTGGTTTTTTGAGACAGGGTTTCTCTGTGTAGTTTTGGTGCCTGTCCTGAATCTCACTCTGTAGACCAGGCTGGCCTCGAACTCACAGATCTGCTTGGCTCTGCCTCCCGAGTGCTGGGATTAAAGGCATGCGCCACCACTGCTACCTGGTGGATTTTGCAGTATTTTCATGTCCTTTGTCATTTTACAGGATGTAAAAAAAAAAACTTGAGTAATTACAAACCTGTCATCTCCCTAAAACATAAACTTAATATGATTTTACCCTCTCAATTTTTCAGTTGGATAGGGCTAAGGCAGTAGTGTCCTGAGTTCAAGGCCAACATAGGCTACACATGAAAACCTTGACTGAAAAATATGTGATTGTTTTTTAAGTTACAGCTGAAGAAAAGGAGCATGCCAGAGTAATGAAGAGCCTAATCACACACATCTCTAATCCTAGCACTAGGGGACCAGAAGCAGGTGGATCTCTGAGTTCAGGAGCCCAGCCTGGTCTACACAGTAAGTTCTTGGATAGCCAGGGCTGCATAGTGGAGGCCCTGCCTTAAAACATTTTTTGATGTCCCATTTTTTGAAACCCTATCTTGGACAAAAAGAAAAAAAAATTGTGGTTGTGAACCTAACCTTTAGTGACTGAGCCATCTCTCCAGCCCGAAAACTAAAAACCAAAACAAAACCCAAACCATTTTTTAACAAGAACATAGAGACAGTAACCTTTCCAGTGAATGTGTCTACAAATGCAGCAGTTCAGCGGGAATAAAAAGGACAGGGATAACAAGAATGGACTCAGCATTTCTCTGTAGAGCATGTCGATTTTTAGTTATAGCTTGTCGAATTTATTCCTAAGGCAAAACCAGCTCTGTCATCCAGTTTTCAGCCTTTCCTCTGGGCTCAAGAGAAGCCTTAGTAGGCAAAGCTCTTGCCACACAAACGTGAGGACCTGAGTTTGGATCCCAGAACCCACATAAAGCCACATCCATAACCCCAGGCTCTGGGATAAGATTGGAAGAGACAGGAGAATTCCTGGAGGTTTACAGCAAACAAGAGGCCCTGTCTCAAATAAGGTCGAAGGTGATGGCTGACACCTGAGATCATCATCTTCTGACCGCCACACACTCCATGACATCGGCATGCATCCAAACACACACACACACCACATGCATGCTCACACACACAGTCATTTTCTTTCCCCCCCTTTTTTTTCCAGTGCTAGAGATGGAATCTGAGTCTAGAGTCTACTAGACAAGTGCTCTACCACTGAGCTACACCCCAGTCCTTTTCTTCTTTAAGATGAAGTCACCAAATGCATGTACTAGTACCAGCTGAAAATAATATATTCTACCTTATTTTTAATGTCCCTTTAAGGACCTTTTAAGGATACTATGGAGTCGGCCACACATTGGATGAGGGTTTTTGGACCTTGGTTTGGTTGGTTGGTGGAAGACAAGGACTCACCATGTAGTTCAGGCTAACTCAGAACTTACTGAATGCTGGTGTTATGAGTGGGCCACCACACCGAGCAGGATGAGACTTAAGATTCTGTGACTTCCACCACCACAGACACACCCCCAATGTCACCACTGTCTCCTTCCTCACTAGTTCCTCAACCGAGATAAGTTATGTTTGATATTTTAGGAGTCGGTGACATTCACAGATGTGGCCGTGGATATCACCCAAGAGGACTGGGAGCTGATGCGCCCCGTTCAGAAGGAACTATATAAGACTGTGACTTTACAGAACTATTGGAACATGGTTTCTCTAGGTAAGGCCCACACCTCTTCTCCCAAAAGGCCTGCTGCAGTATGTTCCTGCCCCTCCTTCCTAAAAATCAGGTTAGGCTCCTGAAAGACCGGACTGAAGACAGAGTCTAGAGGTGAGAAGTCTCCTTCAGGCACAGAATGGTCATGTTCTGCTGTTCCCCAAAAGAAAGGCTTGCAGGGTGGGTCACTGTGCACCACAGTACACAGCTGTAGAGTGCTGCCGCTGACTGCTGCCTCACACCTAGTTCTCCTATTAGGTCATGTCTGTGAGCCATTGTCTCCCCACAGAAGCCCAAGCAGAAATCAGGAATAAAGGCACACAGCTCCTTATCTCAGGATAAACTCCCTCTGTTCCTCCTAACCAGGGCTGACCGTCTACAGGCCAACTGTGATTCCCATCTTAGAAGAGCCATGGATGGTGATAAAAGAAATTGTAGAAGGCCCTAGCCCAGGTGAGAAGAAAAGCCAACACGTGACTTTACACTCAAGAATCTGTGTCCTCAGTGTATTGATATTTGATTTATAAGTGTAGCAAGGTGACTGCAGAGGCGTCCAGCTGGTCCAAAACTCCGAGCTCTTGGCATTGCTGCCTTATGGGAAGTCTTCAGGAAAAGTTTCTGAGCATCTTTTATATGCCTTTGCCAGTGGCTGCACATTTATCCTCAAATATCCCATGAGCCCATCTCTTAGACCATCTCTGGGGCTTCACTGTGCCATCCGCATCCCATGATATGTAAGTGTATTAGTCAGGGCTCTCTAAAGGAGCAGAACTGTAGTCAGACTTCTTCTGACCTGCCAGCCAGCTTCCAAATAACCACATAGAGACTTCTTATGAATTATGAAAGTTTGACTGATAGCTTAGGCTTGTTTCTAACTATCTCTTATAACTTAAATTAACCCATAATTTTATTAATCTCCATTCTACCATGTGGCTTTTACCTCTATCCAATTTTGTATGTTCAACTCTTTCTGTGTCTAGCTGGCTTCTCCACCCTTCTTCCCAGCATCCTCTGTGCCTGGAAATCCTGCCTAGCTATTGGCCATTCAGCTTTTTATTAAACCAATCTGAGTGACATATTCACAGTGTATAAAAAGATTATTCCACAACACAGAACTGATTGAATGAAATATATTTATATGAGGTGTATGTATATATGAGTTTATTGAGTGTAATTTGAAGACTGTGGTCTGAGTAGTCCAACAATGGCTGTCTCTCTATAGAAATGCCAAAAATCGTCTAGAAGTAGTGGCACACACCTTTAATCCCAGCACTCGGGAGGCAGAGGCAGGTGGATCTCTGTGAGTTCCAGGTCAGCCTGGGCTACAGAGTGAGATCTAGGACAACCAGGGCTACATGGAGGGAAAAAAAAAGGCCAAGAATCTGGTAATTGTTCAGTCCACAACACTGGATGTCTCAGCAGTCCCAGTATGGTGTTGAGAGTTCCAGAGAGTTACTGTCTACGTGGAAATGCTGAAGAACTTGGTCTGAATCCCAGTGAAGGAATGCCTCAGCAGCTGGAGAGGTGAATTTGCCAATGAGAGTGAAGGCAAGTGGGCAAAAATCAAAAGCTTCTTCCTCCCATGTCCTTTTACGTGGGCTGCCACCAGAAGGTGTGGCTCAGATTTAGCGTGGGTCTCCTCACTTCAAATGATCCAGTCAAGAAAATCCCTTGGGCTAGAGAGATGGCTCAGAGGTTAAGAGCACTGACTGCTCTTCCAGAGGTCCTGAGTTCAATTCCCAGCAACCACATGGTGGCTCACAACCATTTATAATGAGATCTGGTGCCTTCTTCTGTATATGTAATAAATAAATAAATCTTAAAAAAAAAAAAAAAAAAAAAAAAAAAAAAGGGCCAGGCGGTGGTGGCGCACGCCTTTAATCCCAGCACTCGGGAGGCAGAGCCAGGCGGATCTCTGTGAGTTCGAGGCCAGCCTGGGCTACCAAGTGAGTTCCAGGAGAGGCGCAAAGCTACACAGAGAAACCCTGTCTCGAAGAAAAAAAAAAAGAAAAGAAAAGAAAAAAATAGAAAAGAAAATCCCTCACAGGAATGCCTGGCCTTTCAGGTTTTAGCTGATTCTAGATGTAGTCAAGTTGACAACCAAGATCCACCATCATAGGAAGCAAGTATAGACAGCCACAAAAAAATGTTTATTTCAGACTCCCATGGTATTTTGGATTCTTTTACTCTATTTACCAACAAACCCCTTTGTCTATGACAGGCCAAGTGTCTCACCCGCACACAATACTCAGTCCCTCTATCTCCCAGGAAGTAGTCACTGTCTGTTGATTATGCCCATGCTCCACTGTTGTGTAGAAATCTGCAGATTTCTACACAACATCAAACAGCTTCCTGACCTCCAAGACAAAACCTGGGGTTTTAAATAATTGCTAATATTTCAAAATAAGATTCTAATTTAAAACTAGAGACACTTGTCCCTGGCATTGTGTGTGTTTACAGGGGAGAGAGGTTTTTCATATAAAGTCAAGATAAAAAATCTTGTCAAGGACTGGGCATATACCTCAGTGAGGAGCACCTCCCAGCATGCACAGGGGCCTGGGCTTGATCCCCAGCAGTGAAAAAGAATAGAAAGGATTGTTATTTAAGTTCATTTTCCAATATAAAAGGTACCTTGCTATCGATATTGTTTACACCTTGTTTTTTTCACGTGATATCATATCCTGAAAGCCATATACCAGTAATGGTATAACCAAAACCAAAACGCCAATAATCCCAGCACTCAAGAGTCTAAGAGTGGCGAGTTCAGATCCATCCCTGGTGAACAGTGAGACCCTGTCTCAAAATCTTTCTTTAAAAGCTCTCGGTGATTATCCAAAGAACTGTTTCCTTTTTATTTTTCGTTTTTCATTCCTCCATTCTTATCTCCTTTACAATAACTTGATTTTGAAGACTGGAACCTGTGGAAAAGTTGCAGCCTGATACATGGAACATGGATGTGCTTTTCATCTTGAGTCATGAATTATTATTGCTCATTTGAATGTCTCAACAATGTGCCTTTCCGATATTTTCTTCCCGGTCCAGAGTTTCATCCGGAGCTCCTGTCCCGACACCCGCTATCTCCTGTCTTTACTCTCTGTTTATGTAAAACTGTCCCCAGCCTCTTTTCTCTTATGGGCTGATCCCGGCTGTCCCCTATTTCTGTCTGTCCGTCCGTCCGTCTGTCTTACAAAGGAACAGGTTTCCTTGTGGTGCTCTCACACATACTTGGTTTTGGTGGGTCTTGTCCCATTCCCTGCCTCTCCTTCCTCCATCATGCTCCCCTTCCCGCACTCCGTGCTCCCCCTTCCCTTCCATAACTCGTGTGTTCTGTGACTCTTCCCACCTCATGGGCCCCTTTCTAACTTCCTGGCCATTGCTCACATTTATATGGATGCATGTTTAACAACTGGAAGCTAAGGGGCCAGTGAAATGGTTCCATGGGTAAAGGTGCTTTCCACCCAAGCCTGGCGACCTGAGTTTGATCTTGGAACCCACATAAAAGTAGAAGAGAACAGACTCCACAGAATTTTCCTCTGACCCCCACACACATGGCTGTGGCACATGTACCCACACACATATATCATGTATGCACTAAATTTATTTTCTAATAAGTGAAAAGGAAAAGCATTAGGAGCTAAGAGCCAAGTCTGAGAGAAAACAATGTCAGAAGCATATGTCTTTCTGAGCCTGGGTTACCCCATCAAACTCATAGAATTCCATTGTACCACATCATCGTTAGCCACTCATCTGTCAGTAAGCATCCAGACTGACTCCATTTCCTTTCTGGTGTGAAAAGAGCAGTGAATGTAGATAAGCAGGTGTCTCTGTGGCAGGAGGTAGAGTCCTTTGGGTATGTGCTCAGGAAGGCTAAGCTGGTCATATGTCATATGACAGATCTCCACATTGATTTCCACTATGTTTAGACGCTTTTTTTCTTTTTTTTTTTTAAGTCTTTCATGATATTTTAAGGGTCCAAGATAGTCTTGTTTACAGAGTGATCCTGATTTCCCTGCTTCCTCATGAATAGATTCAAGTTAAACTGTTTGTTGTTTATTTGGCTGTTTGTCTGTTTGTGACAGGGTCTTACTCTGTAGTTCTGCCTGGCCTCAAACTTGTTATGTAGACCAGGCTGGCCTCAAACTCAGAGATCCTCCTGCCTCTGCCTCCTGTGCTAGGATTAAAGATGTCTGCCAGCATGCCTTTCCAGTTTTTAAAGTCATGAGTTCATACTGATGAGTCTAATTCAAATCCAAACCATGAGTATTCTCATCCCGTTTTGTATCTTCTCTCTTACATAGTACATAAGCTGGTTCACATCTAAGTATTTTTACTTCCTGTTATATGTTCCACAGATACTAGAATTCTTATACATCAGTGGTACTATCGATAACAAACTATCAGAAAGCTTACAATTTCATTGAAGTCTTTTTTATTTTGTCCTTAGAATATATCCCTTAGTGGGATATAATGTTTCTTATTATAGACATTTGAATATATAAAAACACTAACTTAATTGAGAAATTAGAGCTGTATAAAAAGATATAAACTCTGATGGTTTCTACTCTCTTAAGATAACTCTATTAGTTTGAGTTCCCTTTCCTGTTTCTTTTTATAAAAGTTAAATTAACATATTTTCAGTTCTTATCTATACAGAGAACATTTGTATTACTCTTGCATCTTGCTATTATTACTATTACTATTATTAAGACACCAACTTGAATATCCACTATACAGCATTAACAGCGACTTAAACAATAATGATAAAATTCTGTGTGGTTTCACTTTTTTAAAAAGGTTCATTGTTTGTTACATATTTTAAGGATTTTTACTGGAAAAGCTAACTCTTTTCCATATTTACAGCATTTAATTGGCAGGATTTTTTGGCAGTTTAATTGGCACATGGGAAAAATCATGTAGGATAATGAAATAAGCCTCAACTGAAGTCAGTCTGGTCTCTGGGAGATGCCGCCAATCTGGGACCACTTGAATGAACTTCATAGCTTGGGGGATTTTAGACCATGGAGCTGGGGTTAGTCTGTAAAGTGAAGAGGGGGCCATTTGCAGTTATGTGTGAGCTTTTACTAGCACAAAGACTGGGGAAGGCCAAGTTCTTTTAAGTTCTGTTTCTAGCTGGTCCTTACCTGGTGCCTGATCTCCTCTGCAAAGGGATCCTGTTGGCTGCCTTCCAGCTTTGTCTTAGGCCCCTGGACTGTTTGTACTCTCAAAGTGGCTCTTTAAAGGCCTGGGCTGTCATGGATCAACATCTCAAGTAGATGACTTCAGCTCTTGCTCTCCTCCTGCCTCCTGCTTTTACCTGTGTTTTGACTCATGCTGAGGATTTTGCCAGCTCCAAGATGAGTAGTTAGTTGAGCCTTTGATTAACGTATCTCACTCATTGGTTCTACCTCAAGAAAAGAGCTAGGTATGAGGTCACATCCCTTTAGTCCTAGCACTTGGGAGGCAGAGGCAGGCAGATTCTGTGAGTTCAAAGCCACCCTGATCCATATAGCTAGTTCAGGCCAGCCAGGGCTACATAGAGAGACCTGTCTAAAATAAAGGAAACTGAAACATGGGTATTTTGTAACTAGTAGTGTTGGTCTTCAGTGGCCATTACTGTCTCATAACTTTTTTGGTTTGGTTTGGTTTTTTTGAGACAGTTTCTCCCTGTAGCCCTGGCTGTCCTAGAACTCACTCTGTAGACCAGGCTGACGTTGAACTCAGACATTTACCTGCCTCTACCTTCTAAATTCTGGGATTAAGGGTGTGGGCCACCACATCCAGCTCAGACCTATTTTTTTTTAATGTGTATGATTGTTTTGCCTACATGTATGTATGTGTATTATGTGTCTCTGATGTCTATACAGGTCAGAAGAGGGTGTCAGATACCCTGGAATAGGAGTTAAGGGTGGTTGTAAGCCATCATGAGGGTGCTGAGAACGTCTGCAGGAACAACAAGTACTCTTAGCTGCTGAGCCAATTATCCAGCCCCTATCTTGTAGTACAGGACCTAGCCATTCTGTGAGGCTCAATTCAGATCACATCATCTCTACTGCGGCTTCTCTTGTTTACCTGAATCGACACCAATTCCTTTATTGGAAATACTAGACCACTGTTGGGTCTTGTTAACCAATAGATACCATAGTTACATATACATACTTAAGCCTTGATTCATGGTCTCAGTTCCTAAATTTCTAATAAACTGATTTTCTTAAATGTACATTAATTATAATAGTATCAATGGGTTTTTGCTTTAAGCTTGTTAATTATAATTTGTGATGTAATTCAGTGGTGGAGCACTTCTCTAGAATGCATGAGGGCCTGGGTTCAGTCTGCACGTGCGCGCGCGCATGCGCGCGCGCGCGCACACACACACACACTACTTCCTTTCTAGCATGTATATAGATACTGTAGCCTGATAACACAGAAGTTAAACTGAACTGCTAGGACCAGCTGGTTCTTTTTGTCTCTACCTAATTGTTGATCCACTTATTTTGTTCTTCTGGAGCAGGATAACATCCTGATTGGAGAGTTGTCTTTTAAATTTTTTCCTCTATAAAAAAATTAATATAACTATACTTCTAGCACTAAATATCGGTAAAAGTGACAGCTAATTTATTGAAAATTAGAAAAAGAAAACTATAATTTTTCCGCTTCATTTTCACGGTAGCACTTTCTCATTTGACGTTGCCCTCGGCATGTTCTCCTGTCTAACTGTGATTTTTGTATTTGAATAAAAGTAATGAAAATGATTTGTAAATTCAAGCAGCATAAGGAAGCAAATTAAATATGTGGCTTCAGCCCTCAGGACCTCGTCCCTCAGACATCAACATTTCCAGGCGTGATACGTGTGGCATGTCTTCACAGAGATAAGACCTCGCTCACTCCATGTTTTACAGCTGTTTTTCTTCACTCAGTGTTCCTGCACAGCTCTTCTAAGTGTGCCCAGACCTCCCTGATTCTACCGGTCACCAGCCTCCCACACAGGCCCCTCTCCTAGATGCAGCATTTCATTTTCAGTGGCCACATACTGTCCTGTTGAATTGACAGGTTGGAAAATGATCATACCTTGAGCTGCATTTAGTTTCTGAACCGTCCTGTACCTTTTTCTGTATTGCAAATTATTCATCATCTTATATAACTGAAACTTAAGTTTCATATTTCCCACTTGGTTTCGTAGAGGTATAACAAACTTTGTTTTAAATCATGTATTGGAAATATAGCAGCAGGTCTGGATAAATGCATACTTGAGTGCCTTGAAACCAGAGTTTGGGTTAGAGATTTTTTTGTTTGTATTTTGTATAAACAAATTATTATCAATTTTCTGTGTTCATTTGACTGACCACCAAATTCAGTCTCGGGCCATTTTCTGAAGGAAATGTCGAAAATATGTTATTTCCAGAGTTTACTCTGGAGTTGAAAGTATAAGTTGTTAAACATAAGTGACACAAAGTTGTGAAAATGTAAGTCACACGAAGTTGTGAAATAATTACCTAAGGCCAAGTTCTGTCACTGTATTAAGTTGAACCATATTGAGGGTGCTGATACTCAGCCATTCGGCCTTTGAGGAAGACAGCTTAATCTTTCATCCATCCTCTCTGTGTTTAGGTTTGTAGGAAGGGGTGCTGTGAAGGGAACATGGTAAACTGCAAACACCTCTCAGTAGGCAGGATCAGACAGTCTGGAGCTGGCAGAGTGCTTACAGCCGTGAACGTGGCTTTGAACTTAAACCCGAGGTGTAAACGATGTAGAAAGGTAAAAGGCTAGATTGTTGGGGTGAAATGCCAGGGGAGGTATTTTGAACTCTTGGGGGAGGGCATCCTTTTTTAGCCTTCAGCTGCTTGTCCTCCCACTTTGCTGTGGAACAGAATAGCCTTCAGTGCTTGCTAAAACAAAGCATTCGGCCTCACTGCCGGTGTGTCTGAAGTAAGTTTAGGATGTGACCCAGTAATTTCAGCTCATTTCCAGGTGACAGTGGAACACACACTGCTAGTAGACACTCAAGAACATTGGTTAAGGCTGCCAGATGGATGAGAGTAGAAAGCACTCCATGAGATTATTTTAAGAATATTATGTGGTGAGCCAGGCATGGTGGCACACACCTTTAATCCCAGTACTTGGGAGGAAGAGGCAGGTGGATTTCTGATTTCAAGGTCAGCCTGGTCTACAGAGCAAGTTACAGGACAGCCAGGGTTACACAGAGAAATCCTGTCTTGAGAAAAAAAAAAAAAAAGGAATATTATATGGTAACCTAACTTAGTGGCACACACCTATAATCTCAGCACTCAAGAGGCAGAGGCAGGTGGTTCTCTGAGTTCAAGGCCAGCCTGCTCTACATAGCGAGTTCCAGGACAGCCAGAGCTACATAGTCTCTGTCTCAAAAAGAAAACAAACAAAATTTATTATTTGAGATTGTGCCTATAGATGAGAAGGGGGAAAAAAGCATGCCTGCTTTATGAGATCTCTGTATGTATAAGCTACACCATGTGTCCCAAGTTTCTCTTCACACTGTCACCTGCCTCCTGTCTGCACTTTCTACCATACTGACTAGTAAGCCTCTCCATTTTCTGTGATTTATCTCCTTTTCTAAGCATTCATTTTCCTTTCCTAAACCTCAAGGACCATAAAATGAAGTTATCAGAACTGTAATCTTCAGATATTTTTATTCGTGTATATTTTGTTTCCTTTCTTTAAAGAGAGGAAGACTTTTAATACTGTTTTTATTTCAGAGTCGGAAACAAAAGCTGAAGCACATATGCCATTAAAGGATCTTCCGACCGTCAAGCAGGATGGAACCCAGACCGTCAAATTGGAAGAAGCCGATGACTGTGATGACGGATTAGAGAGGGAGCCGGTGTATGCCTTCAGGAAGATTCCGATGGATGAAAGAGACTTCAGTTTGAAGTCAGAGATTTCACAAGAAGACCCTCCAGAAGAATATCTTAGTAAATATGATATATATAGAAATGATTTTGAAAAGCACACAAACCTAATTGTACAGTTTGATACCCAATCAGATAATAAAACTTCTCTATATAATGAAAGCAAGCCAACATTCAATAATGTCTCATCTGGTGTCGTACATGGGAAAATACTTCCTGGAGATAAGCCTTATTCATGTAATGTCTGTGGAAAAAAATTTAGGAAATACCCGTCACTCCTGGCACACCGAAATAGCCATGCCAAAGAGAAATCTTATGAATGTGAAGAATGTGGGAAAGAGTTTAAGCATATCTCATCCCTCATTGCACATCAAAGAATGCATACTGGAGAAAAACCATATGAATGTCACCAGTGTGGGAAAGCCTTCAGCCAGCGTGCACACCTTACTATACATCAGAGAATTCATACTGGAGAAAAACCCTACAAGTGTGAGGATTGTGGAAAAGACTTTAGTCAGCGTGCACACCTTACTATACATCAAAGGACACACACTGGTGAGAAACCATATAAATGTTTGGAATGCAGTAAAACCTTTAGCCATAGTTCATCATTGATTAATCATCAGAGAGTTCATACTGGAGAAAAACCTTACATATGCAATGAATGTGGGAAAACTTTCAGTCAGAGTACACACCTTCTCCAACATCAAAAAATTCATACTGGGAAAAAACCATATAAGTGCAATGAGTGTTGGAAGGTGTTTAGTCAGAGCACTTATCTTATTCGACATCAGAGAATTCATTCTGGAGAGAAGTGCTATAAATGCAATGAATGTGGGAAGGCCTTTGCTCATTCATCAACTCTTATACAGCACCAAACTACTCACACCGGAGAGAAAGCCTATATATGTAACGTCTGTGGGAAAGCCTTCAGCCAGAGTGCAAACCTTACTCAGCATCATAGAACACATACTGGAGAGAAACCATACAAATGTAGTGTGTGTGGGAAAGCCTTCAGCCAGAGTGTGCACCTAACTCAACACCAGAGGATTCACAATGGAGAAAAGCCCTTTAAATGTAATGTCTGTGGGAAAGCATATAGACAAGGTGCAAATCTTACTCAACATCAAAGGATTCATACTGGAGAGAAACCCTATAAATGTAATCAGTGTGGGAAAGCTTTTATTTATTCTTCATCACTTAATCAGCATCGAAGAACTCACACTGGAGAGAGACCCTATAAATGTAATCAGTGTAACAAAGATTTTAGTCAGAGAACATGCCTTATTCAACACCAGAGGATTCACACAGGAGAGAAGCCCTATGCATGCCGGATATGTGGGAAGTCCTTCACCCAGAGTACCAATCTTATTCAGCATCAACGTGTTCATACAGGTGCCAGACATCGCAACAGGTGCCAGACACCGCAGTTAATGGATATGACTTTGTTTAAGTTTCATAACTTGATTGCTTAAATTTCATTTTGTGTGCTGTCAGAATATTCAAAAAATCTGAAGAAGTGCAATATGCTAGATATCACAGTATCAGAAGCACCAGAATTAGTAAAATGGCTTGTCCATTTAGATTCTAGTGTGAAACTTAAAGTTCTATCCACTGCTTAGGTTTCATCTCATATCACTTGAATTCATTCCAGAAAGAAATACTATGAAAGGATATTTTAAAACCTGTGACTCATCACCTCTTAGTATTTTTCAAGTATGTTTTATTGAGGCCTTATGACTCTAACTTGGGCAAGTGTCCGTCAAGTAGATCTCACACTCGAGAGTAATATTGACATAGGAAAGAAGATGGATGCTTTGGGGTGCTTCATCCTAGCTTTGAAGCCTTAAAATGAGTAAAAGGTCCTTCTCATTTTTTGCTTTCTCTTTTCCCATTATAACTTCTGTGTGAAGCCAGTGAGCTTGAGGAGGAGACCTGAAAAGATCTTAAGAGATTTCTATGTGACCACACTTCCTCCAGGAAGAGACGGCAATCTGAGAAGATAGTGGATCAGGGTATACAAAACCCTAGACGTGAACAAACTCAGACACAGATGAAACACCCCAAGCTTAAAGTCATTAGTACAACGGTATTTTTAGTTTCACTTGGTTTTGACATCCAGTGTTACCCTGAAGAAAAAAGACAGGCTAACCGTTCCCATTTTTTTTTCCAGGTAGCTTTTAAATTGACAAGTTTGCCCATGGCTCTTATGCAGCAAAGTCATTTCTTTCTATGAAACCCATTTCCTGAGAGCCTACTGTGCTCAGGAGACAGACTTTTTTTTTTTTTTTTTTTGGTTTTTCGAGACAGGGTTTCTCTGTGTAGCTTTGCGCCTTTCCTGGAACTCACTTGGTAGCCCAGGCTGGCCTCGAACTCACAGAGATCCGCCTGGCTCTGCCTCCCGAGTGCTGGGATTAAAGGCGTGCGCCACCACCGCCCGGCTCGAGACAGACTTTTGATTGAACCTTTTCAGTTAACAAATATCTTGAGTAAAGAAAAGGTAAGGATATGCTCTTAACTACTTTGCCATGGAACAAGCATAATCCTAAATGAGTGGCCAAATACTACCCTATAAGCCAGGTTAAGTGAGCAGTGAGCATAGCTATATAAATAACGTGAGAATAAGTAAGAGAAAAGGTTCGAGTCCAGAGCAGGGTGGAAAGGAGTGAGGAAGGTGGGTATGCAAGTAGCTGATGTGACATGAAATATAATTGGACCCCCTTTACCTAAGGAAATAATAGCAGTAAAAGAAAAATTAGCCTCTTTATAGGAAGCTAAAAAGGAAGTTATTTTCAGGAATAATCAGAAGCCTAATACTCATTCACACATAGAAGTAAAATAGAAACTACACTCAATGTGTTAAGAAAATGTTTCATTGGGAAAAGCCTTGGTGTAGAAACTATCATTAATCAGTAATCATTAAACAATAGCTGAGTTCATGGGTCTTCAACAGCATAAAAGAAAGATTGGCAGGCATCCATTTTTTTTAATTGCTGTATTTACTATCCATAGCATCGACTCTCAGAATATAAAGCAGAGCTTCACTCTGCTCATCCTTGCTCCTCCAGTGCCTTGCATATGATCAACATATGTTGGCTGAATTGATGAGTAAATTGTGTGAATTAGATTTGAGTGGTAAAGTAGAATCTCACGCATGGAGAGAAAATTTGTGGAACTGAAAATAACTTTGTGTCCATGTATCACATGTTTAACAAATACTCTTTACCGTGTAACAACAGCTTAAGAATGGAGAATCAGAAGTAGTGGAACATCATTGCCCGATGAAAGTTCCCTTAACTAAATGAGAAGAAACAAATTCTGGTACCGTAAATACCTAAGTTTATATTGACAATACAGCATCACTAGACACCACAAGGAGGGTTGAAGAAAAGGTTGAGATGCTGGCATCCTGAGGTTATCTTTATGGGAATGTTTTTTGTTTTGGTTTTGATTGTTTTTTTGGTTGGTTTATTGAAACAGGGTTTCACTGTGTAGCCCTGGCTGTCCTGGAACTCACTCTGTAGGCCAGGCTGCCTCTGCCTCCCTAGTGCTGGGATTAAAGGCGTGCGCCACTGCCACCACCCAGCTGTGTTTTCTTAATGAAATTGTCACTTTCTCTTTTCTTGACACTAATTACCCTTGACTTCATAGTAGTCACAAAATTCTGGTTAAAAATACTTAGATTCTTCTCATTCCTCAGTTATGTTAAAAATAGCGACAGTATTTACTAGATGGTTTTTGATGTTGCTTCATGCCTTGCATAATGCTTCTTTCTGCTGGGGTGAGTGTGGTGTGGTCCAGGCCGTAGGGCAGTGTTTTGTGTTTCCTGCCTTTGTGTGTTTTATGTAAATAATATAAAGTCTTCCACTGGTACACAGAGGCAAGTAAGGCTCCTATAAAAAAATAGAATAATAGTACAGAATCCTGTCTTTGTGTGTTTTTCCCTCATTTTAAAGTTGTCTGGCCCCTGAGTAACTCAACAGATTTTAACAAGTATTTCCTACAACTTTTTATTAGGAACATTGCTAAATATGTTTTTAAAAAAGTTTAAAAATCATAAAATCAACTGTACCCACCACCTATATTTTAAAGTTAATATTTTGCCAGATTGAAAAGTATCTTAAAGACATTTCACCTCCAAATACATCTCATAAAAGTAAGTAATTAACATAACTATATTACCTCAAAGAAAATGGGCAGTCCTTTCTAACATCTGAACACCTAAGCCATTTCCTGATTTCCTGGTTGAGCCAGTGAGTTTCTCCACGCCCTTTATTGGATCTGCTTCCTCTAGAACAGTCCCTCTGTTTGTCATATCGTTACCTAACAGTAATCTTTGCCTGGGTCAATCTTTTCATTAAGGTCTGCAAAACAAGTAGTTTTCTCTTGCTCTTTCCACATTTGGTGAGCAGTATTCCATAAGGAAGAATGTTCCTTCATTAGCTGATGCATTAGAAGCAAGGTCATGCTTAGCTCTTTTCCACTGATTAGCCAGCCAGTTTAGGAGTTTTTTGTGTTATCTACAGTGATGACAGATGAGTCAATGTGTTAGTCAGTTACAGTCACTGTTTCTGTCACCCCATCTGGAATTGTCTCTCTAGTCTCTGGGAGCTTTATTGCCTTCTAACACAAGGTGTCTCAAGTTCATCCTTCATTTCCATTGCCCCAAACCTGGACGGAAACAGCTCTCCTGAAACTCCTGGCTCCTTTTTATAATGAGCTATTTAGAAACAAGATCTGGGCACTCACACACATTCATTGCAACTGGAGTGCCATTAGCAAGTGTTCCCAACCAAATTTATAAAGAGGAAATCCTCTCCACTCATTTTGCCAGTTACACATCTAAGTATTTATTGAAGAATGCACTTTTACAAATTGGGTAACTTGGGAACAAACCATCAGGTCTCATTAAGCATCCAAGTAAATTGAACAAATACGTGCACTGAAAGGAACAGTTATGACCACAAAAGATCTGGTGCAAGGTCATCATGAGCCATTTGTTTGAGGGAATGGAGTTCTTCAGTTAATCTGGCAGTGGGTTAAGTGTAGGGCAGTTATGAAAACAAGCAGGTATGTGGTAACCGCCACACTGTGACTATTACATCTCAATAGCTGTATAAGCTGATAACACCTTCCATCACTTTTATTTGTGGTGCTGGTTTGAACCCAGGACCTCACAGGTTAAGCTAATGTTCTACTACTAAGCTACACCACCAGATCCCTGCCATATTTCTTTGTGTGTAGATGTGAGTATGATGTATGTATATGTATGTGATGCACTTATGTATATGTTCATATGTGCATGTGGGTGTGTAGGCCAAAGTCAGTGCTGGTTCTCAATCATTCACCTTATTTACTATTTATTTTTATTTTATGTATATGGGTGTTTTGCTTGCATGTACGTCTGTGCACCATGTGCATGCAGCCCTTGCAGCAGCTAGAAGTTGACATAAGATTCCCCTGGAACTGGAGTTACAGATAGTTGTCAGCCACTATGTGGGTTCTGGGAATCGAACCCTGGTCCTCTAGTAGAGCAGCCAGTGCTCTTAACCATTAAACCCTCTCTCCAGCCCTCCACCTTATTTTGGGGGACTGGGTCTTTACACTGAAGATTCACTCACAGATTCCACCCGACTGGCTGAATAGCAAGCCCTATATTCACCTGTCTCTGACTCCTCCACACTAGGGTTACAGACAGATGCCAGCACATCTGGCTTTTACATGTATGCCAAAGATCTGAACTCAGGTTCTCATGGCTGCACAACAGACACTCTACCAGCAGCCATCTCCCCAGCCCCTGCATCATATTTTTTGTTTTTTCGAGACAGTTTCTCTATGGAGCTTTGGAGCCTGTCCTGGAACTCACTCTGTAGACCAGGCTGTCCTCGAACTCACCGAGATCCACCTGCCTCTGCCTCCCGAGTGCTGGGATTAAAGGCATGCACCATCACCACTCGGCGTGCATCATATTTCTTAAGCTAGTTCTCTGAGGATCTGTCGAATGCAAACGTAGTGTTTTGTCTGTCTCATTATCGTCCTGTCTCAGCCTCCATAGTGCTAAAATTATCACCATGGACCAACAGCAGGGCTGAGCAACAGTTCCAGTTTGGTTTGACTACGTTTTAGTATTTAAACCTTGAAGGTACGATGATTCACTTCTGTTCTTGTGTCCGCTCCACGCATAAGTCTGTAAATGGAATTTGCATTCTCCATGTTGCTCTCGACAGGGCTCTGTATGTCACCATATTTACTTGTCCCGTTGAACATTAGAACTATTAAAAGTGGTAAGCATGTTCACTTTGGTGATACGTATGAAGTGTGTGTTAGGCATCATCTGGTGCTCCACACTGTAAGCAAGGGGAACATGAGCCCAGAGTGTTTCTAGGTCACGTAGTGACAATATGATTTGAAACCCATACCTTCCAGCCCTTGAGTTCTTGTAAAATAATAGTAAGTAGAAGCTCTAAGTACAACTAGTATGTATATATTATTTTACAAAGTTATTAGAACACTGAGGACATCTTTTATCTGTTCCTGCCTTTTCATACATTGTTTCCTTAAATGGGAATAGCTCAACTCAAGATGCACCTCCCATATCATCAAAATGTTTCAGAACCATATAGTTCGTGATGGTCTGAAATACCTGGAAAATACCCTAAGTAGTTTGAAACTGAATTGTTTAACCCCAAAAGGCTTTTTAAATTCACTGTACCTTATGAGAAGGCTGGAAGCTAATGTCTTCATCATAAGGTACATCATAACTCTCTTAGTCCTGATGATTTGTTTTTGTTTTTGTTTTTTGAGACAGGGTTTCTCTGTGTAACAGTCCTGGCTGTCCTGGAACTCACTTTGTAGACCAGGCTGGCCTCAAACTCAGAGATCTGCCTGTCTCTGCCTCCCAAGTGCTGGGACTAAAGGTGTGTCCCACCACCGCCTGGCAGTCCTGATGATTTTTACAATGAAGTTTCCTATCTTGTGCCTACAGAGTGATATCTTTTCCTAAAGACCAGTCTTAGGCCATATCAAACTAAGATCTGTATCTAGAAGTGAAAAATATAATGGGCATGGTGGTGCATGCCTTTAATCCCAGCACTCGGGAGACAGAGGTAGGCAGATCTCTGTGAGTTCAAGGCCAGCCTGGTCTACAAAGCAAATTCCAGGACACAGGACAGCCAGGGCTATTACACAAAGAACCCTTGTCTCAAAATACCAAAAAGAAAAAGAAAAAGCCGGGCGGTGGTGGCGCACGCCTTTAATCCCAGCACTCGGGAGGCAGAGCCAGGCGGATCTCTGTGAGTTCGAGGCCAGCCTGGGCTACCAAGTGAGTTCCAGGAAAGGCGCAAAGCTACACAGAGAAACCCTGTCTTGAAAAACCAAAAAAAAAAAAAAAAAAAAGAAAAGAAAAGAAAAAAGATAATTATCTCACTCCACTGGACGTTGATTTAAAATATGACCTAGGGGACTCGAGATGGCTCATCAGGTAAAGAAAGATGTTTGCCATATAAGCCTAGTAAAGGGAGAGAACCAACTCCACACATTTGTCCCCTGACCTTGATGTCACACACACGGAGTATATAATAACAAAGGTTATTTTCAGTGCTGCCTAGGAGCTGGCAAGATATGTCAATGGGTAAAGATTGCTACACAAGCTTGATGACCTGAATCCAATCCCTGGAACCCACATTAAGGTAGAAGGATATAATCAACTCCACAAAGTTGTTCTTTGACCTCCTACATACACCATGGCACATGTGCCCACATACATCATGCATTCACATGCACAATAATAGTTTTTAAAAGCACTACCTGCAAAATACATTCATTCTGAGCACCACAGATGCTTAGGGTCATAACCCCTAATATGGAGGTGGTCAAGAGTACTAGGAAAAGCGAGGTGGTCGTAGCACACTCCTTTAATTCCAGCACTTCAAAGGCAGAGGCAGGCAGATCTCTGAGCTCAAGGCCAGCATGGTCTACAGAGCAAGTTGCAGGACAGCCAGGGCTACACAGAGAAACCCAGTCGGGGTGGGGTGGGGTGGGATGGGGAGGGGAGGCGAAAAAAAGGCGGGGGGGGGGGGGGGTGATAACTCATTGAGCGGCGCTGTTTACCTTGGGAGACACGAGGTATGACAAAGCCCACTGTAAGAGTTCATTAGGGGAAGGGGAACAGAAGGGAGTGATTAGGCCTATGGAGAGATCATGCAGGGAGAGGAGGGATAGGTGGAACCCGCTTTTTATAGGATCCCCCTGCATATGTGCATATGGGCTTGCATAGCCACACCACACATGTGCATAGATTGTGTGATCACATAGCAGAATGCAATAGCACAGGGATTAGGTAGGATGTAAGGCCCTGGGATGACTAAGCCTCTTGCTTGGCTACTGGACAGCGCATGTGCAGTCATGTAGCTGGGGGAGTGACTAGAAATTCCAACAGATACTAGGCAATATGGCTACAGAATTGCCCTTCCTGGAGTGAAGTTAATCACTTCTTTTGTTGTCAATGTGGTGGGCAGATAGTAAGAAAAAGTAAGTGGTGGAAGATCTAGGATTCCACCACCCTTACAGGCTAACACATCAGTGTATCGAGAACCGATCCGAGAGGCTCTCCTCTTCCTCTTTTTTTGATACCAGATCTCCCGGTTCAGGAAGAAATTACTTTATTACTCAGGGAAAGTTTCTACAGAGAAGAATGCACCAGTTAGACCTATGCCACTGTCACATTGTACCCCAGATCGTTAACTGAAGAAGAGGAAGGGTCTGCTTGGTCTCTTGGGCTCAGAGGTTTCCGTCCGTGGTGGCTTCAGTGCTTTGTGCCTGAGGTTGTTAGGGTCTGAGAAAAGCCCCCAAGAAAGACCAACAGTCACGTGTGCAATTTAGCAAGAGCGTTTATTTCCATCATGTTGGGGTGGTAAATAGCGACCCCGAAGGGAGGTCGCAAGCTCCTTTTAAGTTAGGGGAATTCCAGGGAGGAGGGATTAACCTGGTGCTGATTGGTGGAGGCAAGATTAGTCTGAGAGCTGATTGGTTGGAGACTGTAGTGGTTAGGGGCTTGTTGACGGGAGGGTAGTAAGGAGAAGCAGCTTCGGGGCGCCTGCTGATTGGGCGCCCCTGAGTTGTGGTCTTCCCGAGAACTGCTTGCTCAGCTCCAGCCAGTTCCAGTGCTCTCAGTGGTAAGGGAGACATCACTGCAGAAGAGCCTAGAAGGCTCCTCACCTCCTGGCGGCCGGAAGCAGAGGGGAGTAGCAAGAGCTCACCACCCCCAGTGACCCACTTCCGTGCTCACTAATGTCCCCATGTCCCAAGAGTTGCACTAACTCCCAGTAGCTAAGAGCCTTCTGTGCTTGGTCTTGGGGGAACATTTCATCCTCAAACCATGACACCTCTGCTCCCCCAAATACTCATTTCCCATTGCATAAGGAACACAGCATTTAGCCCAAGAGTTCTTCAAGTTGCAAAAGTTCCAATTCTCTTCTGAGCCCCAAGACCAATGTCTAGCTGAGATCCCCTATATAAGGTGTGGGGGGGGGGCACTTCCAAGATACGATTTTACAGAGAAAACATTTGCATTCTAAAAGGGGGGGAATGGGGGATACAAAGAAAGGCACAGAAAAAAGCAAGGCTGAACCCCACCAGGCCAGTAATCAGCCCCGTGGCTTCTTGTCTGGTGTCTAGGATGGCATGATGGAAGGGCCAAGCAACTGGGCAGATGGGGCTGGAGAGACTGCTCAGCAGTTAGAAGCACTTACTGTTCTTGCAGAGGACCCAGGTTCGAGTCCCAGCACCCACATGGGAGCTCACAACCGTCTATCACTAATCCCAGGGTATCCAATCCCCTCTTCTAAGCTTCCACAGGTGCTGCATGCACTCCCGGGCTCCTGTTCCATAGCCCCATGGCCATTTTCCTGTTCTATACCCCGATGTCTTTCCCTGCATCCTAATGTGAGGGGAGTAGGGGTGGCTGCTTAGACCCTGGTGGCGGAAGGGTTCCCAGGGAGGTTTGGTTTAAATGGCTGTGGAGCTTCACATGTGAATTGTTACCCAGTGAGCTGTCTGCATGACCTAGCTAAATTTCTGCCCCCCCTAGTGTTTGAGCACAGGATGCCCAAAGGCCAGAAGTTCCTCTTGAGATGACTTATTCAACACTGGATAGATCTAAAGTGGCTGCCAGCATGGCCACCAGATAACCTCTAGATTCGTTACATTCTAATTCCCATTCTAAGGGACACACCTACGAGCAGACGGGCCAGGAAGCACGGGACCAGTAAGGGAGCACAGGGAGGGTGCTCACGCTCCTCCAGGAATCTTTGCTTGCTCCAGGAAAAGGCATGACGTTTCCCTTCCTCTCCCTCCCCCTCCCCTTCTTGTCCCATTGCCACTAACATGACAACAGAGCGATCCGCAGACCAAGCAATCCGCAGACAGAGCGATCCGCAGAGCGATCCGCAGACAGAGCGATCCGCAGACAGAGCGATCCGCAGACAGAGCGATCCGCAGACAGAGCGATCCGCAGACCGAGCGATCCGCAGACCGAGCGATCCGGGAGGAAGGCTCCAACACTCCGCTCAGTGGTCACTCTATGAATGTGTGTTGCTTGTGCTCAGCTTTCCTTTCGCAATTGGACTTTGAAATCCCCAACAGAGAAAGAGCGCTACCCTGAGGATCCCTTCCTCATGAGAAGAAGCGCTAGCAACCCAAGTAGCACATAAACCCAACATTCTCAAACTATACATTCAAAAACTTTCTAATGGTAAAATTTCCTTTCTGAGATGGTCAAATTGAAGTGCTCAGTGCTGGCCTCTGTCTCTACAAGAAAGAATAACAAATGCATTGGAGTGGCATGGCCGAGGGAGAGCATGGAATCAGAGGAGACACAGGGACTCTTCAAGACACTGATACCTGGGATGGGAGCAGGGGGAGGGGCGCAAACCCTACTGGCTACCAGGGCCCTGCAGGAAGCTGCCCATGGTATAGGGAAGGGCTGGACAAGAGGGTCCCAGAAGCTCTCACCCCACAGATGATATTAATTATTAATTATATCTTATATTATCTAATATATAATCATTGTTATTATATGTTAATTATTAACTGGCCAGAGGACAGTTCAACAGTTGTCTCAGGGTTAAAGTGAGTCAGGGGGCCTGCCTGGATCCTGGTGGCTTTGCTTCAGAGGAGAAGCTCGCTTTGCCTTCCGACACACTCCACCACCAGAGCCACTGTCAGAAGTCCCTTCCCTGGAGGAAAGACACCCCTGCACACCGTCCTCCTGCATCTGGGGCTCCCCTCCCACGTAGACCCAGCAGTGCGACCATGACCCCAGCATCTCACGTATTTCCCTGGAGGAAAGACACCCCTGCACACCGTCCTCCTGTGCTCTCGTATTCCATCACACCAGCATCTGGGGCTCCCCTCCCACGTAGACCCAGCAGTGCGACCATGACCCCAGCATCTCACATATTTCCCTGGAGGAAAGACACCCCTGCACACCGTCCTCCTGTGCTCTCGTATTCCATCACACCAGCATCTGGGGCTCCCCTCCCACGTAGACCCAGCAGTGCGACCATGACCCCAGCATCTCACATATTTCCCTGGAGGAAAGACACCCCTGCACACCGTCCTCCTGTACTCTCGTATTCCATCACACCAGCATCTGGGGCTCCCCTCCCACGTAGACCCAGCAGTGCGACCATGACCCCAGCATCTCACGTATTTCTCTGGACTGTAGCCGGTGGACATTTCTCTTCAGCAGAGATATGGCCACCTGTAAGACCCGAGTAACAAAGGACCTGGCCTCTGGGACTTAAGACTGGTCCTCCACTGGCCACTGCCTCTACCTCACATGTCCAACCACCCCTTGGCTCTTGTCACTTTTAGACCTGAGGACACACATTCCCAGTGCTGCCAGGGCCACACTTACCAGAGGTCCAGTGGTAGTGGTGCCTAAGGGAATAGAAGGAGTAGATAAATCTCCAAGCAGACACACACGCTCCAGACACACACACACACACACACACACACCACACAACACAGACATACACACATAACACAAACACACACAGAGACACAGATATACACACACAGACACACACACATACATACCCAACACAGACATACACACAGACACACAACCACACAGAGACACAGACACCCACCCCTGTTGGCTTGATGACATGGCTCCATGGAACACACCTAAGAATCCACACACACAGATAAATTTTGTGAAGCTATTAAGTGTAGCCAGTAAGGCTGCCCAACATGGGGCAAACTTACAAAAGTAGGTTATGAATCTACATGTTTGCAATAAACATAAGAACGCCAAAGTTTAAACTATAATGCCATTTACCACCAACACAGGAGTATTTAATAGTAAGTCTAACAAAACGTGCCATAGTCCTGTTGGAAGAAGAAAGGCAGATGTGAATAAGTGATTTGGCACACTATGCCTGATGACTGGAAGACTCTAGTCAGAATTGCAATCCTTCCCAAATAGAGGTACAGTTCTAATACAGTTTGTTTTGAATTCCCAGCAGTAGTGTGGGTATCAATAAGGTTATTCTAAAAGTTTTTATACAAAGGCAACAGTATTAGAACGCTAAAGCAATTGACATAATAAAGTGGTGGGCAGGGTCAGTCTACTCATTTTCAAGACTTATATCACTATAGATAGCTATAGTAATCAGAATTAAGTTTCAGGAACTGAGGACACACAGTTCAGTGGAACCTGAGTAGATCAACACAGCCATGGCACAGCCTTCTCAGAAAATAGCACGGTAACATTTTCATTTTGTTTTATTTTAGTGTGTGTGTGTGTGTGTGTGTGTGTGTGTGTGTGTGTGTGTGTGTGTGTGTTGCCTGTGTGTATGTCTGTACGGCACACGCGTTCAGTGCCTGTGGAGGCCAGAAGAGAGGGTCAAGTCCCCTGGAACTAGAGTTACAGATGGTTGTGAGCCACCGTGTGGATGCTGAGAATCAAACCCAGTTCTCTACAAGAGCAGCCAGTGCTCTTGACTTCTGAACCATCTTTCTAGAATGATATCTATGGATTCTTAAAAAAAAAAAAAAAAAAAAAAAAAAAAGAAAAGGCCGGGCGGTGGTGATGCACGCCTTTAATCCCAGCACTCGGGAGGCAGAGCCAGGCGGATCTCTGTGAGTTCGAGGCCAGCCTGGTCTCCAAAGCAAGTTCCAGGAAAGGTGCAAAGCTCCACAGAGAAACCCTGTTTCAAAAAACCAAAAAAAAAAAAAAAAAAAAAAAAAAAACTTGTGTCATACCTTGTATAAAAATTACCTCAGAACATATACTGGGGCGGGGGATAGAAAAATCATCAGTATAAGTGCTAGTCAATGAATTCTCAGACTTTAACTAAAAAGCATGATCCTTGCAAAGAAAAATGGATAAACAGACTACAGGAAAACTTTTAAAAAGTAAATCAGTTGCTTTCTGAGGTACTCTGTTTTAAAGTCACTTTCCACCCCAAATGATGGGTAAGCTTTTTTTTCCCCCAAAAATTAGACAAAGAAATATAATTAAAGCACAAAAAATAGTAGGAAACAGAAGTTAATACCAGGAAATAAAACAGTAAGAATATACATAATGAAGCATTTTAAACTAAAACAAGTATAATTTTTAAGTCTGTTTATTTAAAAAAAAAATTTGCTCCTATTTTTAAAACTCCAAGCAAAACTTTGTTAAGAACAAGAACCACAACTATGTTTATGGGTTTTTGTTTATTTATTTGTTTTGTCTTTTTTTTTTTAAATCACAGTAATTATGTTGCTGGAAAGAAAAAGGAGGTTGGAAAAAGCTCACAATTTAGTGTTAACTTTTTTTTTTCTTTTTAGCCGTTTGGGATTGTTATGTTGTTTTCCGTACACCCATGAAGAGAAAAATATAAACTGCCTGGTGCAGAGGGGCAGCACCCAACCCCAGGTTAATGCGATCAGCTCCCCAGAAGTTAGTGTCCATTGTTTAAAGATGGCGCCCTCTAGAGGTCATCTCGGGAATAACAGGACTTGTTCTCTGAGTCACTGAAACTAAAGCGATAGACCTGTGACTTGCAACTCTTGGTGTCACGCCTTTCTACCGCCATGTTGCAGAACTGAACCAGAACTCTCAGAATTCCCACCCCACAACTGTGTAAAGTGCTGTCTTGGCAGAGGTACAGACAGAGTGAAGAATTGTTCAAAGTCATCTCAAAGTAATCTAATCAAGATTACCAATGTTTTCTTGAGCCTAGTATAAAAGAACAAAAGATCTAGAAAAAAAAAAAAGTAGAACTCCCATAGAGGTCCAGCAATCCCGTTTCTGGCTTTATATTCTAATGAATTGACATGGGACCTCAAAGGGCTCTTTAAGCTCCCACACTCATTGCAGCATTATTCACAACGGCCACAAGGGAAACAAACCAGATGTCCACCACTGGGTGAACAGATAACTAGAACAGTGATCTGTATAGGGAGGACAGAGGGACCCTCGGGCACTAGAGCAGAGTTAAGTGTGTAAAGCAGCGGTTTTTAACCTGTGGGTCTTGACCCCTTTGAGGTCAAATGACCCTTTCACAGTGGCTGCCTATCAGATATCCTACATATCAGATATTTACATTACGATTCATAACAGTAGCAAAATTACAGTTATGAAGTAGCAATGAAAATAATGTTATGGTTGGGGTTCACCACAACATGAGGAACTGTATTAAAGGGTCACAAGCATTAGGAAGGTTGAGAGCCTTTGGTGTAAAGCATCATTTTATACTATTAAGCATCATTTAGTGTGATTAGGATTGTTAACTGGATGTTGATCTTTCACTAATGTTTTCACTGAATGATTGAAACTGTCAAGAGCAGGCCATCTGACGGTTCTTTCCTTATGCCTGGCCGCCTTGACAAAGGCAAGCGAGCGCTCTCCAGCAGCTGGCAGGACCGCCTTTACGGTAGCCAGACTGCCTTGAACATGCCACCGATGCTTTGAGAAGCTACACTACAGCTGCTTGCCGCGGAAACCAGCTCCATCTCCTCAAGGCACTTTTCTAGTCATAGGGTTTTGAACAGCTCACTCTGGACTTTTGGCCACCACAAGCCTTTGTGGACTACGGCAACCATTTCCATCTGGGCCAGAGACGAAGCACTTCCTATGACCGCCCACCACGAAGGTCTGCAAACACCTCAGTCCCCCTTTTCTGGATCCTCCTTTTGTTTTGTGTTTAGTCAGCAGGAAGTCCCTCTCTCGTGCTGTTCCCTGGCCTTGCAACCTTAGGCTCAACAGAAAGTTTCTCTTCAATAGTCTTTGCCGAATCATGATTTTGGTTTTTGCTTTTATTTATTTTTTAGATTATAATATAGTTACAACATTTCTATCTTCCCTTTCCTCCCTCCAAAACTTTTCATATGCCCCTCCTTAATTTCTTTCAATTTCATAGCTTCTCTTTTCATTAATTGTTATTCCATGCATATATATATGTGTATATACATATATATTCCTAAATATAACCTGCTCAGTCTATACAATGTGACTCACCTGTATGTTTTCAGGGCTGACCATTTGGTATTGGATAACCAATTAATTAGTGTGCTCTTCCCTAGAGAAAACTTTCTCCTGCTCTCAGCATTTCTTAGTTGTCTGTAAATCTTTGTGTAGGGGTGCCCTTATGCGCAAGGGAAAATGTAGTCCTCACCCTTCATCAAAGAAACTTCTCTTTGTAACAAACAGAGGCCACTACAGAAAACCACAACTGATCAAAATGCAAAGTTGTGGAGTCCACTCCCAGTGAAAACATCCACAACACACTCCCACACCTAAGGCTCAGGAGTGACCTGAAAGATTGAAAGCCTGAGGATCAGGGAGTTTGCTGTGAGACTGTGTCTCCTAGGAATGTCAGGAGCTACACCCATAAAGTCTCACCAGCAGGACTGCCCAAACATGAGCTGAACAAGGACAACGCCAACAGACATGCCAAAGTAGATAGGGGAAAGCCCAGGAGGCTTCAACCTACACAAAGATTTTCTTTTCAAGTTCAGTGGTTGAAAGATTTTCTTTTCAAGTTCAGTGGTTGAGCTGGTAGCACAGCAAAACAAAAAAAAACACACACAAAAAAAACCTAAATGTTAGTAGTAGTGAGAAGAGGGCTAAAGACCCAGAGAGAGGGAGAGATTGGGGCTTGGGAATATACATAGAAGAGACAAAACAGAGCAATAAAAATATAAATAGGTAGGAGAGGACAGACAGACAAGGAAGAAAAAATATAGACATCTGTGAAGAGGCAGAGATAAGACACTGTGGGTGCTAGTCACTGGAAAGCATCTAGGAAGCAGCCAAGCATCTTAGGCTATATTAGTCAGGGTTCTCTAGAGGAACAGAACTTACAGAATGAACACACACATGCGTGTCTGTGGGAGCCCGTTCTCGGGTTCCTGGTGGGTTTACCCAGCAGGTCCGCATAGAGGATGATTAGACCACGGGCCTAAGTGCAGGTGTCTGGGATGGTCTGCACTTGGCTGTGCTGGGGGAGGAGGTCTTTTGCTCCACCCCTTGGCATCTCTATAAAAACCCTGGGGCAGAGACAGTCGGGGCTCGTTGGAATAGGTTCCAGGCCCTCTCGAGGCTATCCTTTATTTTCTATCTGTTTATCTCCGCGATATTCTCCGCAATAAATCCTTCTATCTAATATTTCCTGCTGCTCGCACTCAAGAAAACTCCGGGGAACTGTGGGGGTGGTTGGGTAAACGCCCCACACGTGTCCCAGCCAGCGGAATCTGCAGCAGAGACCCTAGAAGGGGGAATGGCGAATGAAAGGGACAAGAGACATGTAGCTAGAGTTTTCCTGCCTGGCCCACAGTCAGGATAAATCTCTGCCACCCGCCAGTCCCACAACCGCTCAGACCCGACCAAGTAAACACAGAGACTTATATTGGTTTCAAACTGTATGGCCGTGGCAGGCTTCTTGCTAACTGTTCTTACAGCTTAAATTAATCCATTTCCATTAATCTATACCTTGCCATATGGCTCGTGGCTTACCGGCATCTTCACATGCGGCTTGTCATCATGGCGGCTGGCAGTGTCTCTCTGACTCAGCCTTCCACTTCCCAGCTCTATTCTCCTCCTTGTCCCGCCTATACTTCCTGCCTGGCCATGGGCCAATCAGTGATTTATTTATTGACCAATCAGCAACACATTTGACATACAGACCATCCCACAGCAGAGACACAAAGAATTGACAGCAAGACAGTATTCTGATCAAGCTGCAAAATTTTATTTTTCTCAGGTGGGTTTTATAGTAAGCAGACCAGGAAACTTTCTTTGGGAAAAGATTAGGGGACTGTTGAGTTGCCAAGCAATCCAAAAGTTTCTGGTTAGTGGCTCAATACTGGACAACAGAGACTTAACTCGGGCAGGCAATATGGCAGGGCTCTTAAAATTGTCCTCGGCATCTCCTCCCTTTATTTTATTTTATGAGGGAGTGTGCCCACCTGAACGGTGGTGGACCTTAACCAGCTGGGGGAGACATTGACCTGACTCCTCCTAGAGCCACTGTGGGCTTGAGAAAAATGGTACCTTTTGGGGAGGAGAGGGCTTAGGCATTTTGGTGCCTCTAGATACCAACCTCTATGCAAGTCAGATTTGTCTCTCAGGGAATCCAAACCAAGGCCTTTAAGTCAGCCTTCCCCTACAGTGCTTGGCCTTGCATCCATTGGTGTCCATACCAGCTGATGCCAATAAGCAGAGGTTCGGACTTTATGCTGCTCCTAAAGGAGAAGAGGACTGAGAAATATCACAGGGACCACATCCTCGATCCAGCCTTTCGAACCGATGATAATGAACCTGTATAGGTTTTGATGCCAGGGAGTCTATTTGTTTTTTGATGTTTTTTCAGATTAGCCTGCCAATTATAAAGGGACCCAAAATTACAAATAACAAAAGGCTGACTAATGGTCCTGTGAGAGGCATTAAAAGGGAGAACATGGATGATCTCCACCAGTCATCTGCCGCAGCAGAGAATCGCTGCTTATGGAGCTCTAGGCTAAGTTTATGTAGCTTATTTATCTGGGTTTCTACCATT